CTCTACGTATCAATGATCTTCCTTACGTGCACTCTACGTATCAATGATCTTCCGTACGTGCACTCTACGTATCAATGATCTTCCTTACGTGCATTCTACGTATCAATTAATGATCTTGCAACTTGCCTAGTAAAGAATTGATACGTAGAGTGCACGTAAGGAAGATCATTAATTGATACGTAAAGTGCACGTAAGGAAGATCATTAACTGATAGTAGAGTGCACATAAGGAAGATCATTAACTGATAGTAGAGTGCACATAAGGAAGATCATTAACTGATAGTAGAGTGCACATAAGGAAGATCATTAACTGATAGTAGAGTGCACATAAGGAAGATCATTAACTGATAGTAGAGTGCACATAAGGAAGATCATTAACTGATAGTAGAGTGCACATAAGGAAGATCATTAACTGATAGTAGAGTGCACATAAGGAAGATCATTAATTGATATGTAGAGTGCACATAAAATTAGTGTAGATTTGTTCAGTGATTACTTTTGCATGTTATACGTTTGTAACACAAAATGAAACATTTAAACACTTCGAAGAACGACAAAAGACGAATCTTGACATTTCATATAAGCAATAGGTTTATGACAAAATAATCAACACTATTTTTAAGATGTATAATCTTTTAATATTAATAATAAAAAAATTATACAAATAAAAAGCATTACCTTATACTGAGCAAAACTGTACAAGTGAGCCTACATTGCATTCGATACGCAGGTATATTTCTGCAAATATATATATATTATGTTGATTCCATGTCAGATATAAACAGCTTTGATAGTGTGCACTTATTTCTTTTCCAAACAAACTTCTCGTCCTATAGACCCTTGTCTTTCCTCTCACCTTTACTGACGCACTTTTCTGGTTACCTTCACTCTTCATTATTACTGTATATTTATTCCCATTATTAGTAGACTTTACTAATCCATTGATGGTTGTGTTCCCATCCACTATTAACATGTCACCTCTATTCTATGTTACCAGTACATTGTACTTATCTATTATTGAAAAGTGTCCGTCTCAATTATTCATGCAATATACTTCCTTATCCATTATTGATTTTTTTTCTCATTCCCCCTTTCATGCAAAACCCTTGCTCATCATTACTGTACTTTTGCCTCCGTTATTAGTGTAACTTATTTACCTGTACTAAAGTTTTCCTTTTCACTACCGACGTACGTTAACTTTCCATTATTAGTGTACGGGTCTACATTCTGCATTTATCTGTATCACGCTCTTTCTTTAGCATATAAAAGCGCTGCTCTTCTTTCTGTCAACAGATTATTTAAATATTCTATTATATTTACTGTTAAAGCATCAAAGTTTAGCTTTCTTATGATATACACGCAATAATGTCATTCGAAAGTATTTTTCAATATGTGCCAGACTTTATCAGAAGTTGAATTCCCCGGTGTTTGACAGATAATCTCGCTAACCTCCAGATTTAACAGCAAAGTATCATAACTCCCTTCTTGCCTATCGAACATATGCTTACTTTTACACGTTTTATTAAGGATATTAATTGTCGATTTTAGAAAACTATACTTAGAATTTTTCACTGAGGCTATTGTTAATATATCTGGTACCGCTAATGTCATACAATTGTACCCAGTCTCCTCCTAAATAATATTGCTTTGGCCAATCTATTAGATCGGTGTATTGGAAAACGAAATACCGACAACAGCTAGTATTAAAACCACCAACTTTAGTGCACTGATTTTAGGATATTATAGTCTATTCAAGGCATAACATACTTTTAACACACACCTCACACAAAATATATGAAAATATTAGCATGTTTTTTACAGACAATTTTACTTATCACTATGTTTCAGAAATGCAAAACATTTTTTAAAGATTTTATAAATACAGGTATCCCTATTAATTTTGGTTGAAACTACAGTAATGTACCCGTTGTTAACTATTGAAAATACTTGCATGTTCGGACTGTTTTTTTAGTCTTATTTTTCAAACGAACGGTCAATAGGCGACGCGAAATGCATTTGACAATGAAGTCTAGTGTGCAAGATTAGCCTGACAGATACAATCAACGATCGTCTTTGTTTTTTTTATTACTCTATTTATTACATCCAAGTAAAGATACACAAGTTTAATTTCAAGAATGCATTGCCTTATAGTCTTGTGCTTTCCCTCTAAATAGTCAGAAAAACAGAGCAGAATAAATGTTTTTAAATGAAGGGCTTAACGTAAATCGTACATTAGCAATCGATGTGTTCGAAGGAAAACGAAGTTTATTAATAAACAAGATTACGACACATGTGATATACAGTATTGTTTATCAACAAAAAGGGGACATAGATAAACGTTTCGGCATTCTATCAGATTCCATCTTCAGTATCTTCTGTACATCATAAGTGTCGTAATCTTGTTTAAATCGTACATTACGTTTGAAACAATTTTACCTTATGCATAAGTGTAATAAAATATTACCTTTGAAAGTAATTTCTCATATGCTTGCCGTTTCCTGATTATCTATTAATTTATCTGTGTGTGTGTGTGTGTGTGGAAAGAGAGAAAGGAAAAATTCTGATTTTACGATCAGTTTTAGAATCCAAATTAAAGAGCCAACGACCTGTGCGCTTACGCGGAAAACATGGCAGGCCTCGAAAAACGAGAAAGCATCATTACTGTAACTATCTAGGTTGGTAGTTCTTTTATTGTTCTCTGATACAAATATATCTTCTTCAATCAGATCAATATCTCTCTGCCACATCGAACACGACAGACACATATACAGCTAACCTTTCCGTAAAGTACGATCATCCCTAGCTAAGCAGCCCTAACAAGGGAAGTTTCTGGTAGAACACATACGTGAGAAACTGATTTTGTGGATAGAGGGATGTAATATTACCTTTCTTTATGAAGTTTATTCGCATTCCCAGTGTAGCCCTGAAAGGGCGCGTCGACACCTCACTTCATGTGTAGGGGGAGCGCCACTCCCATACCCATGCTTCAAATTCAGAATATTTTTCGTGTTGCTTTCTTAAATGTGGATCAATGGGATTGTAATCAAGTCTGTAATATGGAAATCTTTATATCAAATGAAATTGTTATCATTAGTTGAAAGCTCTCGACCTTGCATATGCTGCTGTTTCAAAATAATAATAATAATGATTACTGAATTTGTAATTAATTAGTAAACACCGTAACCATTAAATACCCAGTTTGATAATTAGCTGTTCTGTTGGAGGTAGGGGGGGGGGGGTGTAAGCGTGATTGTGGCAATTCCTCACTTCTAAATTTAGCATTACATCATTGCCCATTCCTTCATAACAAAAATATACATCCAGATATGGGAAAACATGCATTTAACTAAAGGGAGATTCTTAGAATTCCACAAAAATATTGAAAATTTCTGTACTGTTCCTTCAAGAATAAAGACAATAATCTAGCAGGATCTGCCCAAAAGGTTTGTATGCAACTTCTCTGAAAAGAAGAACCCCATGAAGAAAGTTATACAAGAAAAAACAGTATATAACAAATGATGGATGGAAATGATTGGTATGCTATTTATAAATCTAATGTGGTTTTAGTAATGTTATTCTGTCCTTTTGAAAACTGAAGTTTAAAAACAATTCATTCAAAGCAACAATGTTTCGACTTATGTGAAAATAAAATACAATGATAAGCCATAGAAGAGATGCTTTAATATCACATTTCCAGCTTTTTAGGGAAAATGTGTATTGAAGAATATTTAGAAACATTTTCTCTTTTGTATGGTAATGATTCCTAATTGATGAACTTCAATCATGTTGAACATTTATATAGCCAATACACTTTAAAGAATCAAGGTTTATATAAGATTTAAAGTTGCTCGGTGTTCAGAATTAAGTGTTAAATCACCTGATACAGCATCATTCTTCTTGAGAAAAGTGTCTTGCAATGAGAGTCAAATTATTTTTTCTGTTTTGATTTTAATGTATAACATTAAATTGTTGGTGTTTTTTTCTAAACTGGTTAGTTTTCACATTGCTAATGAATTTCAAAGGATGGAACTTGGAATATTATCTTTTACACTTCTTTTGTGCATGTTAAAACTCTTAATTCCTTTTTGAATTATTCAAACGTAATTAGAAGTTTACAAAACAATTTTTGCTTAACTTGTTTTCTGGCTTGCTTGGATGTTTTACATTGTGAATATAAAACTCATTTGCTGCAAGTGAATTTGAATCCTACAGTGTCTTCTATTAGATATGTGTTATCCATTTATGTCTCTGTGGGTGTATAATGAACAGAGTGAAACTGAAATTTTCAGAATATGAACCTTATCTTATATGCACACTACAATCAGACCAGTTTGTACATTTTTGGAAAGTTGTACACTTTTGGTTAAGATTTACATGCAATAATATTGTATTAATGAAATAAAAGGGAAAATATTACTAAAAAGAGTAATTAGTTTAGAAAAAATACACTATAGTCTATATTATGTGTGTGTGTAAAAAATCAACCTTAACTGTTTTCTGTGTTTAAAAAATATGTCATGAATATCACAACTTGTTTCTACACATTAATGGTACTTTCTTGCCAGTTTTGTCTTTCACAATTATTATATAAAATCTTAAAACTTTCCACATGCAAGGTGACTAATTAAAAAGAAGTTCAATCTTTCTTTTCTTTTTAAGCTTATTTTGGAATGGTATTGTTCAAACGTTTATACAGGTGCAGGTTCTTTAACTTAATGGTAATGATACATACAATCATCCAGACTAGTCTGTAATCTGACACACTTGTTCAGCTGAAAAGCATGTTGATTTTGCTGCCTGATAACAGCTTCCATACTTTATGTGTCAAATGACATTCTCTCATCTCTCAACTGTTTCACCAGTTTAGCTTAACCATTAACTATTTTCCAGTAGAGCATACATATGTACAATTGTTTCTGTGTATTATTGAAATATTTCCTAGATAACATATTTAATTATAAAAAAAGATTACATCAAACAGATTCAGACACCCCTGCTTACCTCTGGCAGATAACTTCTTGGTATTGATAATCTTTGCAGCAAATTCTAGAGCAGTTGACTTCTGAACACATCTTCTTACAATGGAAAATGCACCTCTGAAAGAGCATTGATATGATTATTATGAAAAGCTAATTTGTATTGTAATATAGTTACACACATACAATACTCTACTTATCTGTCACTATTGTTTACTGGACAGGAAAGTGACTTTTATAAAAAATAAAAGGTAATAAAAACATATGCAATGAATATTTAAAGGTTGTTATTTGTGAACCCTGTTGTAAAGTAAATTAATAAATGCTACCAGATTATGATTTGTGGCAGATAAAAACAAATAACTACGTAAATACATTTCTTTGGAAAATATATACTCTGAGAAGTAGGTTTTTCTTAAAAAGAAATGGTAAAGAATTACAACAGAATGCCCAGTAATGTACAAAGTATGTGAAGTGGGCATTTTTATCCATTCTCATAGTTGAAATATTCAGGCTTGCAGAAAGAACTAAGAGAATTACATACCTGATGACAAGATTTTACAGTTCTTATGTCTTCTGGAACATTTGATGTAAACATTATAATCTTGTTTTTATAATCAGTTTGTTGTTTTAGGGAAAAACAAAATTCCCAGATAAAACTACAAGTATGTCATTTACAAAAGTTTTATTAAAACAATCACCACCTAATTTTGGTAAAAAAAAAGTGTTTTCTTTGTAATTAGGTAGAAACTGATGAAACAGTAAAGGCAGATACCTGATCAAGATGACCTTAGCTCAAACATTTATAAGATAGATCATGAACATTTGTATTTTGTTGTAATTATTTCATAAAAGGTTGCATTAATTTAATTAAAAGATAAAATATTCACATAACACTGTTGCTCCAAACAAGTCATACCATGTGTTACATTATTTAGCATGTAATGACTGGGTCTAGTTTAGAAGAATATAACTTTTCATTGCATTGGTAATAATTATTGGGGACTATATAGACCTATTAAACCAGTGTATCACATCCATTAAATGAGTAGAATTTTTTACCAGTACCATCTTACAGTAAATAATAATAAAGCTTTGGACCAGAAGCACCTATTAACAAACCAGTAGACCCAAAGAACCAATAACTACTGGGAAAACAACAGAACTATTGCACCTGGAAAAAATTATATCATCGACAAAATATGAATTTTATTTCAAATCAGACATAAAAACAGTTTTTATATCAGCTGCCAAAAAAACAGACTAGAAAAACACAAATTATTAGTTTATATCAATGCACTTTTTTTTTCAGTATTTTCAATTTGTTATTAGCTTTCAGAGTGAAAGATGGAGGAGGAAGATCAAAATATTAAAAATTTGAAATATAGTTTAAGGTACACAGATGTTACCTTCAACATTTGAAAGCAAATAATGGGTCAAGACATATATCAAATATATAGACCAAAATAATAATGACATAATTTAGCAAAAGCTGAAAAAAGAAAGAAAGATTTAAAACCTGAATTGGAAAGACAGTTACATCTTGGTAACAGCTAACAAGTATTCTTTAATCAAATAAATTTATTTCTCCAGAAGCTCTTCAATCAAAATGAGGGTCAAAACCTCATTAAGCAGCCTATAAAGCAATATTAAGTGTGAAACTTATTTCTTTGAAAAACACAAGAATGAAACATTGCAACTTTAATAAAACATAATATACCGATTGAAGTTTAGGAAAAAATGTCCAGAAGAGAAACAAAGTTAAAGTTTTTTAAAGTGGAGCAAAGAGTAATCTATTTTCTTACAACATTTATATAATACTCCACAAAAATCTAATATATATAAATACTAAAAAAAAACTATTTTTCCTAGTGTGTAACCTTTCAATAGTTATTTGTTGTTGTTTTTTTTAATTAAATATTACATACTAGTCATTTGTTATTGACAATATCATGATAGTCCTTGTAGTTCAAATGCTGATCCCCCTTAGCATAAACCAATTGGTGATGATGTAAATGTTAGTCCCTTCAACACCCACCAGTTTATGTTACTACCATATTTGTTTTCCAAATATTCATATAACCAGGTATTGATGTGCCTCCAGGGTTAGACTCCTACAGAAAATATTGAGTGGACTGTATAAAATTACCCAACAAGAGGATAGAATAGCAAAACTCAGCCCCCCCCCCCCAAAAAACAATTACTGTTCAAGACACATAACAGTGCAAACAGGGATATGAAAAAATTTGTTTTCTCAAAACTCAAAAACAGTAGATGCACAGTGTCCAACCCCAATTCTAAAACTGCAAGTCTTTCAGATAGAGTTAACTCCAGAGGAATTCAAGCAGCTTTTATAAACCAAACTCTAAAACAAAAGATATTTTTTTTAGCAATGAAAAGCATATGTTAAAGTTTTAAAAAAAAACCTGTTAAATTGTAGTTGAAATAATCATAAACACTTTCATACTGATATAAGTATTAGAACTGGTGACAAATAGTTTCATAACAGAAGCAAACAGTACTTATATTTCTTAAAAAATTATTCCACAACTAGTAAACGAAAGAAATCACAGTTGCTCAAGCAAGTGTTCATGGATAAGCGCAATACAATGTCTCTTTGCCCCAGTCAATTACTAGGCTGTTTTAAACAATATGATATTATGTATAAATTCTTGAGCATTAACATCAGGATTAATTTTTTAGATGCTTTTCTTATTTTTACTCTTAATTGTTTCATAAAATATTATTCTGAAATAAGAAATAAAAACAGATATTGCTTAAATTTTGGAAAGTAATTACAACCTTTTTTTTTGTTCATATGTTTGTAGATGCACAAAAATCTCAAGAATGGTAAGCACTGTACACTATGGTGCATGCTTGTTTTGAAAATGAGTTATGGGAATTCTGTCATCAAATCCTTTATCAAAAATACAGCAAGACATGAAGAATCTGCATTTTGTTTCTGTTGTAATTTTTACAAGGGTGGTAAAATTCTCTCTTAAATTCTTTATTAAATTTTTTGTAATTAGTTATAAAGTTTTTTTTACAATAAACTTGCACATTGCTTGGGAATAAATATAATATACACACAATACTCATTAAGTTATTTTCACCCAGTTCATACAGAACTACTAAGATAATATACAGTGTGTAAAACCTTGCAAGTTTCTTATAATATAGTTGCTGTAATGATGTATAAAAAGCTATAGTGTATTATCTGTTAGAGATTTCTTGTGTTTGTTTCAACTGACATTTACTATAAGATGTATTGATTTAAGATAGGGCATCCTGTAGCCACATTACCATTTAAATTAGACCTACATATACCAAGCAGTTTCACCTGATGAATAAATAATGAAAATTATATATCATACAAAAAGAGATTAGTACACAGACAACTACCCTTTATTACATTAAGTTATGCTTAAGTTATTGATTAATTCTAATGTTTAGAATTTCAGTTAATCAAACATAATACTAAATCATAATGTATAACTTTATATATATATATATATATATACACTATATATATATATATAAAGTTAAGATGTATAATGCTACATAGGTGCTAATTTAATCACTACGTGTAAATTACATTGCAGGGAGGAAAAATGATTACATATATAACACAATGTGAATTAAAAGTTACATATTCAAACATATAAAACTAGAAGTTTGTACTTGTGTGGGTAAAAAAAATTACACACAAAACAATTACTTCCATGAAAAAAATTTCTGACTAGTTTTTTTTGTACAGTATATAAGCAAAAAAATTAATGACTTATAGTATTGTCTTAAAGAATAATTTGAATGTTTTGAGCATTTTCTTGAAAAGACTAAGTTTTCAATGGAGATTCTAATTTTTATTAAATTCTCAGGGTTTGCCATTTTAATTATCTATTTTACAAAAATTTCCTGAAATTTTGTAAGAAATATTCCATCAGTATTTAAGTACCTACTAATGTTTATAGTATTCCACATTAAATTTCGTGTTTTTGTTACATATTGAGCATTGCATTCTGAACTGAGGCATGCACTACTGTTTAATAATTCAATAACATTCCCACCAAAACCATGACTTACTAGTTCCTGAATGGGCACTAGAAGCCAGTTAAACAATAAAACACAATTGTGAGCATTAATGTCTTAATCAGGAAATTAGATAATATACGAAATAACACACTAGTAGAACAAAAAATCAAAAACAACTGCCAACATTTTCAAGTGTATTTTAAGTAACTGAATTTAGTAGATTTGAACAATTTCCACTGGAAACTGTTATTCATTGTATACACAAGAGGTTGTTACTTTTTCTCAAGTCCAATGTAAAGATAGTTAAAATTTCTTTATGTATTCAAATATTTATTTCTAAAAAAATAATTATATGTTCTTTATTCTCTAAAGTTTAAAACTGGATAAAAATACTTTATTCCATGAACTTGTATACACTATTCTTCAAATGGATACCCCCACCACCACCACCAGCCTCCCAGAAGTTGTTTATTTTTCTATATTCAGCTAGCAATTTAGTGTTGGAGTAATTATCAATCTTCTTTAGGGCTATCCTGGTTTGGTAAATCATAGGATTGAAGTAACTGCCGCTGTTTTAATTTCTTTATTTTACAGTTTTTTATTGTAATACATAGACATTTTTAACTCTAGGAATATTTATTTCATTCTTTGTACCTAGCTGTCATATCTCAATATTATCAGACACTGACATAGCTTCAGAGGAAATTAACTATCAATTTTTTGAATATAATATCTAGTGACTTCCTTTTAATTTAATGAAATCAGGAAATTAAATTTGTTACAAGGAGTTGGTGCTGAAATACATTTAGTTGTGATTGAGTAATACAAAGTTGTTCATAGCAAATAATGCTGATACAACTATGTTCCAACCCTTGTGATTGTGATAAGAAATCAAAATAATTATTTAAAGTTCAGGACAGGGAAGAAGGCTGGCTACAGGAACATACTTTTAAAATTGTCCATAGTAATATGTTCAAGTTAACATATGCTTTAATTCTTTCAGCTTGTAGAAAGAATATATGTTTAATGCCAATGATCTCAGGGTCAAGCTCCTACCATAACAAAACAGTCCTTTTTGTTATTCTATATTGTATTAATTCCTATTACCAAAAGCAGAAACTGAATCCACTTTGTAATTAAATGATAATAATACAGACATATATATCTGTATAAATCATTCATTTAATGAAAATTTGCAAGTTGAGACTGACAGTTAAACAAGTAGAAATCTGCACTACTTGCATATAATCAGATATACTTCACCTTATGTACATAAAAACAAAGTATCATTTACTTGATTAGCTTTACATAGTTTCTACACACATTATACAGTTTAAGAAAACTTCTGAAATGACAAACAAGATCTAATGTCATTAATGGTACTAATTTATTTCTCACTTTGAATTCCATGACACTAACTACAGTCCATTTAAAGTCTTAGTGCACTTAATAAGGAATTTTCACACTAATGGGATGCCGTGCAGTTAATGCCAATCACTTATACTCAGTCTTAAGAGACGTTTGTTAAAAAGGATATTAATTGTTGGAAATCATTTATGGAGAGAATGGAATGAAAAATAAAATGGTGATATACAAAAAGATCCCTTACTTAATTAATGTTTAACACTTTGACACACAATAAAAAAAAATGAATCTTATATTGTACTTTATTTATATTTTACTTTGGCTAAATGTTTGGTGAATTAAAACAAGTTACTCTGAGGCACAAGAGACAAATGTAGAAATATTTTCCAATAATAGGTACAAGTGTATTTTACAAAAACAAAACAATTATATCAGTATGGATGATTTTTTGACTTGTTTAGATTATATATTAAATAAATTGCCACTTTCTACACATATGCTTTCAAACCCAATTTATAAAACAGTTATAATATAATCAAGTGTTTAGAATATTCATTTTAATAGAATTTTGCATTGATTTGCATAAATACTCTGCTTTATTTGTGAACATTAAATTAGTGTATATTAGGAAATGTATTACTTTGTAATAATCTGAGAATATATTTTATTGGTCTTTTAATATATATATATATATATAGAATTTATACTATTTTCACTAGTTTCTGAAATAAAATAACAACAGATTTCTGTATCTCATCATCTTTATTATTGTGCTGTGGTGCATAAGCAAAGGTTTTACTTGAATATTTAACATACAGATTTGCAAACAGAAAACAAGAATAACTGATACGAAACAGATCAGAATCATATTGAGTCCCAGGGTTCAGGTTCCCATCATAGATGTATATATACACAAGTTAACCTAATATAACAAAATATGCTAGTACCAAGTTCCAATCCTTCCACTATAAAACTGGCTTATCAAAACTACCAAATTTTTTAGAATAGTAAAAACTAAGTTTTTTAAAAACATCCCACATACATTTTTTAAGCCAAATTTGCCATAATATTCTGCAAGTGATATATTAAATTATTAATAATACAGAATTCAAATTTAGAATAGGAAACACTTGAAAATTCACTGTATTTCTTATAATTTGGTACTAACTAAAATCCCTTTCTAAGAATTTGTTTTTTCTAAATTTTCTCAACTTATGCTACATTTGACCTAAATAATTAAGAGTTTTCCCCTGAAAGATTCTGTATAGTTTTAATAATGTAAATGACAAGGGCATAAAGCATTAGTTAAATTTAAATTTTCATATTTTAAATATTATACAAATTTAATAAATGGAAACAGAGTCAAATAAATACAAAATTGTTACTAATATGGTAACCAAGAGTTTTGGGTTGAGAAACAAATTATCAAAAAGACTATAAAGACCGAGTCAGTTCAATATTTTATGTCAGGTAAATGTGTGCAAAAATTTCTCTTGCAGCTGGAAGGTAGGTGAGCAATGAATGAGAAAGAAGTCTGAGCTATTTCATCAATATAATTGTAAAAAACTTTTTTAAACTACTAATTGTTATGATTTATTGATGATGATGAACAAAGAATGGAAAATAATGTAACTCTCAAGAACCAACTTTTGAAAGGTAGGGAAACCACCTTCCTCCATCTAACATGAACTGGAAATCCTGGATTCAACCTTCACTCAGAGTAGATTTCTTAACTTGATTTTTCATAAAAGATGTCAAATAACTGACCATGCTCTTATTTCAATTATTTATTTCTTTTATGTTTTAAAAAAACAGTTTTGTGTAGAATTTGTGAGAAGATTTACATTTATTAAATGGAATACTCATAAATGGAACATGCACCACTTTATTGGACTTGTAAAAAAACACACATTAAAAATGTATTCATTTTTAGAATTGTGAGTTACCTTCACCAAGAATTAACAATTTTCTCAATCTTGTAAATTATTTGCTAGTTGCTTTGATCTCATTATAATATTTAAAATTGGCCATAACTAATGATGTTCAAATTTCACAAATATCTTGTATGTACTGAGCTTAGCCATTCATACACAGCCCAAATATTTAACCATATATTTATATATTTTACCTTTTATATCTAATATACATTTTGGTATTCCAAACATTTCTTCAAGCTAATGCTGAAATACAAATTATGATTTATGTGGTCTATTGTATATAGTAAAGTAGTTTCCTCTTGTAATAACATGTACTTATTATAACTACATGTCAAACTGCTTATATACAAAACTACAAATAGATAAATTATCAACAGATATACAAAAAGATCCTTTTTTTGTTTCCTAAAAAAATATTAAATTTTAACTTGAAATTTTCTAAAAAATTAAAAGTCAAGTAAAAACCAACAAATTAGTGTTTCAATACAATTGTTCATACTATACACAAGATGCGACAATATAAATAATATTTTACAATGTCTCCTTATTTATTACCTTCACAGCTTATCCAGTAATGAAACTGTGAGTTGTCATCAATTTTTTTAAGGGTTTTATGTAGAATATGCTTGTGACATTGTGAAAATTTATAGCCTTGCAATACAGATTTTAATGGAATTCTTTTATTTGAAAATATTTGAAACTTCAGTAAATAGTGATATTGCCTACTTTTATACTAGTGGTATGTTATTAAAAACATAAAAATTACAGGCTTGATGAGCTAACATAGTGAGTAGTGCAACTTATATCATTATCTGGAATATAATGGTTGCTCCAATGAAACCTTATTAAAGTAATTACTACAATAAAAGGTTTAATCTCTGTACTGTTATGACCATTTAAAATAAAAGTTACCAGGATATTATCATTTTGGCTCAACTACAGCATCAACTTGAACTTTTTCAAAGTTGTAACGAATATTTAAGATAGTCTCTATTTTTAGAACTAAAGTGAAGCTATCTGTCACAAAATATAGTTTAAAGTATTTATAGCATGTGACAAATATTCTGGGAGGTTAAAAACCACAAATTCTGGAAAGCATTTCCTTACTGATACGCAATATGGGTAAGTGCCAAGTTTATAATAATAATAACATACATACATATAAGATTATAAAACTAAAGATCAGATATAAATAAAGGTATAATTGCTAGTTTTTGAAAATACAAATCAGTAACAGAGTTGTTAATTAATTAAGAAAAAAGCACAGGAATCAAACTTAAGTCCTAAATCAAGCTGATCCACCAAAACACCATTACAAGTTTTAAAGGTATACCTAACTTGCATGGCAATAACTTAATATATAAAATTATGTTCCACAAAAGTCTTTCAGGATCACTCATATAAAATGTTTTATTTGTGTAATTGTTTGCGACTGTTTACAACAATAATACTTTAAATTTTATGGTTGGTACAGCCAAAGTGAAAGTAACTTTTGATTTGTATCCTACACTAGTGTGAATAAATCATTTACATTTTACTAATTTATTAAAACAATTATAATACACAGTCACTGATTAACTTCAGAATTACTGTGTTCACATATTTTCATCTGCTTTTTAGTTTTCCTATTGCATTTTCTCTATACAAAATAGCAAGTGCATTCAATTTTGTTAACAAAGATCAGTTTATTTTCAAACAATAAAGGTAGCTATCATTGATATTGCTGCTGGTTACCGTTACTTTACTAAACTATCATTATGTGTAATACTTCGACTTCGCGACATCGAATGCCTGCAGAGAAAGCAACATCACAAGTTAAAAACCAGCTTTACTGTAGCAGTCTATAAGACAGTGGAACTTGCACTTCTCGCTACTACTAGTAGTAGTACTAGGCTGTGGTGTAGGGCCAAAGAGCTCCCTTAATTTTCTGAATATTTTATTTTTTTATTTACAGTCAGGATGCATGTTAAAAATTATATTTTTTAATCTGCCATATACTTCGATACACTTAAAATGCATATACTTACTTTCCTAGCTCTTCTTTAATTTCGTAATTATCGCTAAATCTTGTACAAGTTGTTGCAGCGCTCATATTGATTCCACACGGAGGAGAGAGAGATGAAGATCAGATCTCGCCGAATACCGTACTTTTCGTGAAACCCTCGTAGGCTTTTCCTGAATGTCTTGCTGCGCGCGCACTTGAAAGTCTCATGCACCATTACATGCGGGTATTTATATACTTTACACGGTACCCCACTGCTTTTGCACGGGTTCCATCAATAAACCATTAATTCGAAGTTAACAGATTCTTGTTTTGTACATTCGCCATTTAAACTACAAAACTAATTATACAGAAAAAGATAACTTAACATAGCATTTTGAATTTTTTTTTCATCGAAATCTCATGCGATTGTACTAAATAAAGTTTGGCTTAGCCTTCCCTTCCTGTATATATGTATTTCATAGATTTCAAGAATAATTTGATTGGCATATTTATAGGACAGGAGTCGGCAACCTGCGGTTTTTTAACCCTCTCGCTGTGCAATTATTGAAATATGAGTTACATGCATTGCGGCTCTCAATATCTTAAGTTTTTACCGAATTAGAAAAAAAATGGCTCTTCTTGTTATTTGGGTTGCCGACTCCTGTATAGGCGCTACTTTACAATGAGAGCGCCGCATATAAATTAACACATGACTGGCCCTATAACACTCTTTAAAATTTACTTTAAATATAAGCCCCTCAGTGACACAGCGCTATGTTTGCGGACTAACAACGCTAGAAAACTTAGCTAGCTGATTTAATCACCTGTGTTTGGGTTAAGTTATAATACAATCATGTAAATAAAACTCGAATATTAATTCTAGCTGAAAAGCTAGATATCTTCAATGTGTCATTCGGTTTCGAAGAGCACAACTGGCATGGATAAACAATATCCACACTAGTTGTTACTAAACTCCATGCACATAGAAAGTTCGTTCGGATAACATTCTATGAACTTCTTTGATGAAAGCTGTTATAACTCGACACTACATCAGTCAACTGATAAGAAAATAACTAATATGAACAACTTATTAAACAAATTATACACACACACACACACACACACATATATATATATATAGTTTTTACATTCTAAAACAACAAATTGTTTAAAATAACATTGTTGTATCTCATATATTTTGTCAAGTGTTTGCGCTGCTTGCCATTAATCCTAAAAAAATATTTATAAGGAAACAGACTGTCCTATGGACTATGACATTGACAAAATAATGTAATTTATCACTCACTTACTAAAGCAATGACAGACAATATATTATAATCTTAAGATATTGTATTGCTAAAAACGTAACAGCAAGACGAAGTAAATCTGGTTAGTCTGTTAAGCTCATGGGTATATAAGGGTTTTGCTCATACCTGGGGAAGCTAAATCAGGTAATCCTAAAGAAAAATACATATATTTTAAAAGACTGATTCAGTGCAGCTTTTTCAAATAATATATATAACATTTTTAAATAATACAAAAAGAATAATAATTGCGGTTTTTCTTCAAAAATTCACCGAAAATACTTAGCAACACATTACATAATTCACAAGCAAATAAAAGTTTTGATATTCATAAAACTCGTCATTTATCCAACCAATACAAGGGACAATAATAGTGTGCAATTAAGCTCATTAAATCTTCTTAGGGGAACGCAGAAAACAACAACAACACAGAAGCTATTTTTAAACGTTTTATGAAATACCATTATATTTCTTCATATCCCTCTAAGATGGACTAGAAATATACATTCTATTTTGTATAATTCCAAATCATTGTATGTATCTAGTGATATGTCAACGCTCTTTGATTTTTAAAAATAAAAATACATTATGTTTGGTTCATTGTTTTTGAATTTCGCGCAAATCTACTCGAGGGCTATCTGCGTTAGCCGTCCCTAATTTAGCAGTAATAGACTAGAGGGAAAGCATGTAGTCAATACCACCCACCGCCAACTATTGGGCTACTCTTTTACTAACGAATAATGGGATTGGCCGTCACGTTATAACGCCCCCAAAGTTGAAAGGGCGAACATATTCAATGAGAGAGTTTCGTACCTCCGACCCGCAGATTGCGAGTCAAATACCCTAACCACCAGACCATGCCATGTCAAAACATTATGTATTAATGTATAATGACAAGGACTGGCAATGGACAATTTTCTTTCTTTTTTTTTAGGCTAGAATCCCATAATATAAATCTCAGTTTTTGTTTTTATACAACTTTTATCAATTTTATATTGTGCTGATTTAATCGCCTATATATATACATTTGATGGACTTTACAATACTAGTATTCTTTGCTTACTTCTATATATATATATATAATTTCCTTAAAATCACAACTAGGATTTTTAGAAAGAATTGGCTAAAATTTATATGTATTTGGTAAATGACTACTGATCTTTGATTTCGTTAAATGGATATGTCACCATTAATTAATAGCACATTTAAACTGATATTTTTAGTTTTGCCACCAAATAGAAAACACCGTGTGATTACATATGACATTTATCGAAATTCCAGTTTAATAAACTCTTTGAAAGCCTTCACAAACATGCAGCGTGATGAATTAACAATTCAATAAATAATCTTATATTCAAAAACGATATATATTTATTTCCTTGGCTTTTGTTCAGGCATGATGACTGTCAGTTGTGTTTGAGTTTGTTTGTTTCTAGAATTTTTGCATGAAGCTACATTTAGGGCTATTTGGGCTTTTTTATTTTCAACTTATAAACTAGAGTAAGGGCAACTGATCGACAGCACCCACTCTAAACTCCTGGGCTACTTTTATCTGATCAAAGAATAGGATTTGACTGTTACTCTTATGGTGCACCCGTGGCCCCAGAGGGCGAAGCATGTTTTTAAGACAAAGTTCGAGCACGGTAATCATAATGCCACAACTGGCCTTTGATTTAGTTATATAAATGTTTTATTAAACTAATATTTGTCTACGTGAAAGGTTATAGTATTTTTATCTTGATTGTTATATTATTCTCCAAGTGGGCATGTGTCAGTTTATCAAATGGCCAAGTTAGCAATATTCCTAACACCTATATAAAACCTTAAAGTACTAAGTATTATTTTTCGTTTTTCACTTTGAGTGAATTTAATAAATGCTATATTTAGTTATGCTTTTACGTTTATATACAATAATAGTGATTAATGTTTTAGTATACTCAAGAGTATTTGTTTGTTTGTAATTAAGCACAAAGCTACATGATGGGTTATCTGTGCTCTGCCCACCACGGGGATCGAAACCCGGATTCTAGCATTGTAAGCTCTCAAGAGTAAACACAGCTGCTTAAACTATGTACAATAATAGTGTTTAGTGGTACATAATTGAATCGAATTGTTTAAACGTTTGTTTAACAACAAGTAAAAACTTGATATAGTATATTTTTTCATTGGGGGAGGGGGGTGTCTGTGAGACAGACTAGTTTCGGAGAATTCCACTCCTCATCAGTGACCCTGAAAACTACCATTTACATTTTGTAAAAAAGGATGAGGCGAAGTCTTCACTTTATACAACATGTATAGAAATTTCTGGAATTCACTTTGTTATACTATTGCTGTTACAATGGCTACATAAGTTTATCACTCAATTTAAGAATTGTGGGTTTTATTCCTACAAAAATAGATACTTTCAGTTAATCTTTCATATAGGTTCACAATGCTTCATGACTTTCATAAAACCTTAATAACGCTTTTGTGCAGTATAATAGTACCTTACTAATTGCTTATTTTATTCTTATAAAAATATCTTAATCCGAGGTCTGACTTGATGGTTCAGTAAGTATGATGATGAAATTAAGTCAGTTGTTTGGGGGGAATTTCCGAAACCGTTTGCAGTTTATGTTATTCGTTTGGTGCTCGTTTTTTTATATCCTGTGAAATCATTATATACTATCTTTGTTTTTCTATTCTAAGTTGTGGTCAGTCTTACCCACATTTGTCGAGCATAAAATTAATACGAAAACATGTGATTGAAGCTACGTCTTGTACTACTAAGGGTTGATGGTATTCTATAAGAACTATATTCTAAATCTGGTGTTGCCCTTGGAATTATTTCCCCCATCGATAATGCTCATTATGATGGCAATGATTAAGTATCACTGACCGACAACAAAATTACGATTGTAACAAGTGTCTGTGAAGGATGGGGAGGTCAGTCTTGGGAACATATAGTGACAAATTTTCCACAGATCCTTCATTATAGTTTGATGTACCACGAACACGTTTAAGGGAAAAAAACATTAGAGCTTCACCAGAGGATCTGATGATGTATGTGGTTAAATGGGATTAACGTGATTTGAGTTTCTTCCGCCATCATTGTCATGAAAACGGCCATTGATTTCACGATGTAGCCAGAAACTTCATCAACTTCAAATACTTATTTATTATCTTGTTAACAGTGCCATGAGATATGCTAAGCGCCACCACAATGCTTTTTTGGGTTAGATAATGCTATTTCGTAACTATAGTATTTACTTTGCGAATGAGAGCATTTTTCTGGGATAAGGTATTTGAGCCCACTGATGTCCTAAACGCTTTGGTGTGCGTATTTTATACTTCCATGAAAGTTCTCTTCTTTGAACATGTGTCTTATGGCTCTATGTAGTTTCACAATCTTGTTCTATGAATATCTTTCGTGAAGGGACTGACACATTCATCCAGCTGTAAGCTATCTGTGGTAACTTTGCACTGTATCGGGGATTTCACATAAACCAAATATAAAGATCAAATACATCTCGCCCGCAAATGTCACAGCTCGCGTCTACGTCGATACTCGTCTAAATTAGTATGATGTGCAAATTTATATGTAATACTTTCCATGTTGGATATCTGGAATGTACTAGAAGAACATTTCTGAGATGGGAAAGTCTCCACTCTCGATTTAACTTTGGAATACTTTCGCAATATAAAGTGGTACAAAAGCCGCGTAAAACTCGTCCTTATTATGATAGGTCAGGCGTGGCCTGTTGTGATTAATGTACTGGACCGTGTATCGGGTCAAAAATATTAAATATCAAAAGGTCTAAGGTAGATGTAATAACTTAAGTCTTTCATAACAAGTACTGCATATTATACCTTGTTGTATAG